CCCCGGGACTGAGAAGGACGGGGGACGACCGGCTGGTTGTGCGCGCCATCCCCCCGGACTGCAGAGGGCGGGGAGAGAACCGGCTGGTCCTGAGCGCCCCCGCCAGACACACTTGCTGGCGTCGAGACGGCTGGCTGGTTGGGCGGTTCACTCCCCCCGAGGACAGGGGTTACTTGCGTGGGTGCAGCGCCCTTGTGATCTGGCTCGGGACTGGCGTCGAAGTCCGGGTCTGCAATCAAAACGAGATATTATTGGCTGCATGAAATATGCAACTTGAAAGGATCGAACCGGAGCATCGAGTAAGGAATACTAAAAGGAGAAAAGCTTTAGAGCACTAATGAGGAAATGCTCACAACGTGACCGTTCTTGACTCAATATCTAGGTACACTTTAGTGGGAGAATCAGGAGTCTGTGAGTTGCATAACAGGTTGAGTCCTGATCGAAGCAAACTTTCGGTTCTTTTACGCACCGAAGTTGATTGTAAGCCTCAAAACTCAAACATGGTTGAACACAAAACGCTTATCAATTTGCTGATGCACAATAACAAGACCATGATATGTCCCGAGTTGCAGAGAACCTACCCTCGGAGTCCAGGTACGCAACCTCCGGGAACTGGGTCGGAGCGAACTCGCCCTCTTGGAAGGCCGCCGCGGCTTCTTGGAATCCGGCGGGGGTGCACTGGATGCCGAAGCTTTCAGCGGTCTCCTCCACAGTAAACTGCACGTCCCTATACGCCGGGGCCAAACCGAGAGCTTCCATGTGCTCCCCAATCCGGTACAGTATTTCAAGGTCAAAAGCGGGGCCGTGGTCCGGTTCACCGCGGTTCGCTTGCCTCATCCGGATGTTCCACCCCGTTAGCCACGTGCACGCCACCGCCTACGCCAGCTCAGCACTGATGTTGTAGTTCTTCAGGATCGCCTGAAAGTGCACGTGGAAGCCTTCCAGTCTTGAGCCCACCCGTTTGCACGCATACTGGGGGCGGGCGTTTGCACCGCGCGCAGGCTTGAGATAGTACATCTCCATATTTGGCGGATCTGCAATGTGGGATATGATGTTAGACTCAAATACATGGTGTATCCGTAACATGAAGGCAAGCAAACAGGAAGTATTCGCAAATCTCTTCCCTGACCCAGCAGTCCAACAACGGCCCTAACCTCACTCTTAACCTGACGCTGATCTGGCTGCACATGCTGCCCAGTGAGATCCATATGATTGTTATGACTCAACAAACTCTGATCAGAGCAAAGTACAACAGTTATCAACCAGAATCCAACCCAAGTCAGTAACTCAAAACAGTAAGCCAGATTCTAGAGGGCTGAGAACTTACAAGTAACCCTGCAGATTATAACTTGCCTTGCGAACGACAATCTAATCCAGACCCGAAGACATGCCAAGAGTTTCGGACCCTTTGACCCCGCTCGTAAGCCACTGAATAGACTCAGCGCCACTCACCGCTCAACAAACCAAGCCGCGCTTGGTCAAGTAGACCCTGAAACGCTCGTTGAGCGTCGAACCCAAGAAGGGGCTCCGAAGTGAGGGGGTTGACCTTGGACGACGCCTCGTCTCCAACCGCCTGTCCACCATCATCAAAACGAAGTCATTGGTAAGACAAATCTGTGACCGAGTGCGAAAGCGTACGTAGATTTAAACCGTGCTTCTCACTGATGAGCTTGTCAACGCGCAAATGATTGGACACTCAGGGCAACATCTTTGCGAGCAGCTTATTGACGGAGCTCTGCAATCCGCTTGCTTAGAGTATATTTGGAAAACTGATAAGCATGCACATCGACCTCCTAGACTAACCAGTACGCCCAGCCAACCTCTCTTCAACCCTGTCCAGCTAACCCCCATTTGTAAGCCATCTTGCACGATTGAGCTACAGAATTATCAGCTTCACTCAGTACTGAAAGCGTGTGAAATCCTTTCAAAAGAACGTGGTTTGGTCAAAGGTTGCTCGTGACCAAGAATTGCCAGTGCAAATCTTTGAAGCAGCGCGCGGCCAAAAGGAAGTACAAGGAAAGCAAGGCTTCTCACCTCAAGCCGCGCAAGCAAGACCTCAGGGGGTGGTACTGCCTTGCGGCATCTCCGCAGTGCGTTCTTCCCGGACTTGTCTGAAAGTGTCTTCCCCTTCTGGTCAAGCTCCTTCATAATTCCCACCATGTCAGCTTGGTTTTTGACGAAGATCGCGTCGCTCAGCTTCCCTTGCAACCAACCTGGTGAACAAGTTCAAGGGGCAATTAACAACTCTACCAAAGGCTCTTCCTTTGCAAATGCTCTGACAACTTCCAGCACGCGTTGTTTATGTGGTCACTCTTGCAGTATGGTAAAGTGAAGCAGCAAATCATGTGCTGGACAGTTGCTCATCAACAGTAGCACTGCACTCAGGAACATCCAAGTCAACACTTTGCAGAGCTTCGCAAAATGAGCTGCCTAACAAAGAACTCAAGCTTTTGTGAGAAAGAGCACTGATCAAAGAGCACACTGCATGAGCCAACAGCCTTGCAACCCAGCTTGAACAAATACCTCTGAAAGGATGATCTTCAGGGATGCGCTTGGTCACACGCATAATAGCGTGCAGGATGTCCATAAGGTACGCCTCCAGCCCGGGCCAGATGCCCATGAAAAAGGGGCCCATCACCTCGGGCCAGTCGCAGAACAGCACGCGGGGCTGCAAGCAAGCAACATGCGCACTTGCAGTGAGGTATGTTTGTCATTCACCATCGAGCGCTGATCTTGGTAAGAGCTCTCTGATCCGCAAAGTGCTGCGACAAAGTAAGAGACCAGAGCGATGAATTGCTGAGCAAGGGTGGATCAGATGGTGCACTATATGCTGGTGCAAGGCGGCAAAACAGAGCTTTGAATGCAATTAACAAGCAACTGTGGAAGCTCACCGCGCGACCTGCCGATGCCATCCGCTCGTAGATTTGCCGGAGATTGTCTTTAACAACCTCAAGGGACGTACTGTGCGTCCACAGGCTGGTAGCAACTTCTCCAGTCTCCGTCATCATGGTGAGGGTGGCCTCCAAAACGCGCTGCCCCTCCACGCCTCTGAAAGAACGGAAGATCAGTTTTCAAAAGCAAGATGCATGTATTGATGTGCGGATGCAACCTGGCAGTGTCATACGTAAGCCTTCCTCTGTGTTTGGTGGAAATATTGGAAACAAGAAGAGCACATGCCTGTCACAAAGACTCGGCAGACTTGCAAGTGGCAGCTTGCTGACAATCAATTCAGATGTCCAGAAGCAAAGAAGCGACGTGCTGTTTGCATTGGGCGCCGTAAAAAGCTGGTTTGACATACCTGATCCTCCGCATCAGTTTGTGGCAGTGGTCGACCCCAACACACTCGCCTTTCACAAGCGCCATCTGCCTGTTGTATGTGGGTATATTTGCGGCAGCCTGCTGCAAGAAGACCGATGACAGGAGCGCTGGACCAGCAATCCAATCTGGAACTCGCTTCCCCATGGCCCAGCTTTGAACCGGCTGCTCAATCCCTGCCCCGCCACCAGCTGTGCCACCAAAGAACCTGCCTATACCAATCTGGCGCTCTGCTTCCGCCTCAGCCCGCTTTGCCTTCAACTCGCGCTGGTACTCATAATAAACAAGCTCTCGCCGTTTCTCTGCCAACACATGCAACTCCTTCACCAGGCGTGCAATGCGAGGAAAACCGACGGCTTCTGGAGCCAGAAAGTGGATGAGATCCTGCAGCGATCGCTCCACAGGCACGCCTGTCTCTGTGAAGTCGATGGGCAGCTGGTCCTTGATGAATGGGCGCAACTGATTGCGGATCTCAGAGCTGTGTGCTAAATACAGAGTGCTGCCATAGCCCCCCTTGCCATCAGGTTTTGCATGGCAGTCCTTGCAGCGGTAATCCTGGGAGAGAATGAAGAGGGGTCTGTGAAGCCCCAGGGCCCTCACCAGCTTCGAGTACCAGCCATTGCGGACCACAGTGGCCCTGCCACAGCCCCTGACGCAGGTGAACTTCTCAGGGACAAAACCCTTGAAGAACATTTGCCAAGAGAGGACGATGATAGTACAACCCCAGATTTTGAAGGGCTCTACTCGAGGTGCACCGAAGCGAGAAGCAGACGAGGATCCTGCCTTCTCAAGCTTTGAGGAAATGGTTGGATTAGGTGCTTCGAAGATATAAGTGTCACAGCCCTCTTTACTGCCAACCTTTTGCTTGATAGACTGGACCAAGGGCTCTAAAGGGGTTCCACTATATGCAACTTCCGCAACTTCAGCAGCTGCACCTACTACCCCTGCATCCTCCATTGCTCCAAGCAAAGCTTTCAAAGGGATGTTTGGCAGCCCAAGGACAAACCTCTCTGCTCCCTTGTCTCCTGGCTTCCTGCTTTGAACAGAGGAATCTGCATTCTGAACTCAGGCCCAGCCTCAAGAGTCAGGGGCCAGGGCCAGCACTG